AACTTTTATTACTTTGTTGACATTTCTTTCAGCTCTTAGTTCTCTCACATTAAAAGTCACATAAAGGAATTCACGACATCCTCCTCTGTTCTTTGTTTGTTTGTTTTTGTTTTTTAAGACAGTATCTTACAATGTAGCCCTGACTGGCCTAGAACTTTTTGTTTGTTTGTTTTTTTGTTTTTGTTTTTGTTTTTTGAGACAGGGTTTCTCTGTTGTAGCTTTACGCCTTTCCTGGAACTCACTTGGTAGCACAGGCTGGCCTCGAACTCACAGAGATCAGCCTGGCTCTGCCTCCTGAGTGCTGGGATTAAAGGTGTGGAGCCACCACCGCCCGGCTGAACTCGTTATGTAGACTAGGCTGGCCTCAGACTCATAGAGATCTGCCTTCTTCTGTGTCTTCACAGTTACTGTTCTGTGAAGAACACTAAGTTGCTGTGAAGAAACACTAGGATGAAGGTAAGTTATAAAATAAAGCATTTCACTGGGGGCTTGCTCACAGTTTCAGAGGATAAGTCCATGACTATCAGGGTGGAAAGCATGGCAGCCAGCAGGCAGTCAGGCATGGTGCTGGGGCAGGAGCTGAGAGCTTACATCTCATCCACAGGCAGGAGGCAGAGAGAGACAGCATGGTAGGCGGGGGCTTTTGAAACATCAAGGCCCACCTCCAGTGGCACACCTCTAATAAGGCCACACCTCATAATTCTTCCCATATAGTTCCCCCAAGTAGGAACCAAGCATTCTAATATATGAGTCTATGAGGGTCATGCTCATTCAAACCACCACATGCTTCCTCTCTTGGAAGCTGTGGTTGAAGGCACACACCACCACAGTCAGCCGGGCAATAGTTTTCTTTCTTATATTCTTCTTCTTTTTTTTTTTTTTTATAAAAGATTTACATATTTTTGTTTTATGTTTAAGTGTTTTGCGTGCATGTATCTGTGCACCACATACATGCAAAGCCAGAAAAGGGCTCTAGATCCCCTGGAACTGGAGTTACAGATGGCTGGGCTATGAGCCACAGCTATGCAGGTGCTGGGAATTGAACCCAGGACCTCTGGAAGAGAGGAGCCTGGTCTCTTAATCCTGAGTTTTCTGAATGCTCCTGACTGGGAATAGCATTTGTGGCTGATAAGCATGTCTGTTCAACAGTGTGGAGGCTCCAAGAGCCTGTGAGCCTGAAGTTTATGAACCCTATTACCTGCGTCCTGGGGTGGTTCACTTGACTGCTCACAGTTCAGGACTCTGGATCCTTCCCGTGTGTGGCTACGAGGTTCTAAGTTCATCCGTAGAGCAGTAAAGTGACTGGTGGGCTCCGGACACTTGCTCTCCCTACAGATGCCTCTGTGCCCAGTGTACACTTGCCTCTGTTTGGAAACTTACATGTTGGTAAGGGGCTCTTCTCCTTGGAGAGTTTATAATGCTGAGAATAATGGCGCTTTATAGAACCTGTACCTTCCTGCCTTCAGGGTGTGTTTCAGACCACAGGAGTGTCCAAGGAGAGGTCCTTCAAACAGGACCACTCCATCCTCAGCTGCCCACCTCCTTGCTCCCTTTACTAGCAAATCCACCTTTTAGCCTTGTTGGAGTCACCATGGCTTGGAGTGGCTTGTCCTGTCACAGCGCACGCATTCTAGCAGCAGTGCAGCCACTGGGCTGCACGGTGTTGTCTTGGACGGTCCATTCCTTGGCTCATTCACACTACTGTTCTCACAGTTTACGGGGTCTGCTATTGGTGAAATTATTAAGGCCACTCCACGTAGTTAAAAGGAAGATTTGTTTAGTGGGTAACTTACAAATGATAGGGATAGGTAGGTGGCGGGTTCTGGAAAAGACGCAGCGCAGTCCGGCTCCCCTTCGTCTTCCTCTCGCATCCAGGTCCAGGGAACAAGAGAGCGCAGTGGGCAGCGCGACACAATCTCGGGTCTTCAGGGCCCTCTCTTGGCCCCGCCTTGTAGGCGTGACAGTTACCGAAGCCTCACTGGGGGTTGGAACTTCCAGACCAAAGCTGGAATGGCTACCCACTACAGTCTGCCACCCCCATCCTTCAGCCTCCAGCGACTGGCTTTAGTTATGTCAGCCACCACATGGCTTTTACTTCCTTCTCTGCCCACTGAGCCATATTTCCACAGTCTAGCAACTAACTGCTCTCTAGTTACTAATTTGTCTGGCTCTGGGCACTGAGCACAGGGCCTAGCACGTACCAGACAAGCACTCTACCCCTGATTTGTATTGGTTGCTTTTCTTATTACTTTGACAACACTACCGGATAAAAACAACTCAAGGAAGCAAGGGCTTATCCTGGCTCATGGTTTGACGATACAGTTGACCCCGGGAGGTAACAGGTGGTGTAGCCGGGTGAGGCGGCTGTCACGCTGCATCCGCAGTCAGGGGGTGGAGGGAGATGGATGCTGGCGCATGGCTTGCCTTCTCCTTTTATGGTAGCCCTGGACCCCAACCTATGGAATAGAGCTGCTTACATTTAAGGTAGTTCTTAGCTCAATTAGCTTAATTTAGAAGATCTCTCACAGAGATTTGTCTGCTAGATGATCATGGGTCCTGTCAAGTCGACAGCATTAGCTGTTACACCCTCACATCCAACCCATTTGGCTACTTTTTTGAAACCAAGGGCAGTTCTTTCTTACTCTGTGGCCTTGTGGAGCGGTTCCCAGTTAGATACATTAGCCACCTGGTTTCCCACTAACGTACATGGACTGTTACCAAGGAAAGTCTGTACTCGGTGACATCCACGGTGCTGGGTTCCCCTCTGACTGCTCCCTGCCTCTTACCTCGTGACCTCCCTTCTCTCTTGCCTTAAGGAATGTTCCAGTCTGCTATCATGCTACTCAAAGACCAGCCTTGTTTGAACTCTTGTTCTGAGACAACCGGAGAGACATGGCTGTCAGAAATGAATATAGTTTCCAGGAATTGGTGACTCACACCTGTAATTCTAGTACTTGGGCAGCTGAGGAAGGAGGGTCACAAGTTTGAAGCTATGTTGGGCTACATAACAAATTCCAAGCCAATCTTAAGTAGAGAATGAGACCCTATCTCGAGGAGAAGGGGGATTCTCTCCCCTTTCCAGATATCTAGTTTAACAAGGTCATTTACTGAGCATCACCCCCCC